ASAGAACAGCYGAAAGAAATAAAATGATTTAATTACRTTGTCACTTGTTTTAATTTAATCTCAGACTATTTATATTTCAAGTGTTTGTCGACAGGTTAAAAAAGCGTTCTTCGCCTTGGTGGCCAACGGCGTTCGAGCAGCTCCACTATGGGACACAGAGAAACAAAGCTTTGTGGGTAAGAATACTTGATACATGTTTTTAAAATCACTGCATTTTTCTAATTAATTTGGGGACTTGTTTAAGTATTTGACACACATAACTGAAATTTGACCCATCATCGAAACGAGGATTAAGTCTAAAAGTTGTATGTGGAGAAATAGGCAAATAAAGTGTTTTGATTAAAACGCTTGCAAAAATTACATTGTCAAAATATAGCAAATGTGTTATCAATGTATCATTTCAGTGAACTGTCTGAAATATTATCCAAAAATATATATTTTGAAGCACTTTTTTGAGCATTAGCAACCAAAAACCAGATTTTGAGGAAAAACGCCTTAAAATGTTAAGATTTTCCCTGTGAGCTAGCAATGTTTTTGTTTCTTTCCAGCTGGGAAATCTCAATATTCAGTTACTATTTGAGGTTTCTTTTTTAAAATGACATAAAAAATTCTCATTAAAGTTACATAAAATTATGTATTATAACCAACAAGACAAATTAAATAATATCTCTGGATCTACTAATGATATCAGGATGATCTCAGTATCAAAATGTAGCTTTTAAAGCAGGAATCTGAAAATATGATTAGGTCATTTTGGCCAATTTTGACTTAATCCTCATTTCGATGTGATGGGTCACAAATAAGCTCTATTAAGACATGGATTTTTGTGATTTGCTGTCTTTACGTCGGATTGTTCGTTTTTAAATTTTTTCTCCTAAGATGAGAATACCAGCGCTGTGCTGGTTCGCCATAAATGAAAGCTGCTTTAATGGTAGCGACGGGTGGAGCCCAGTGTTTTATTGAAGAAGACATTAGAGCCGTCACAGGCCATAAAGCACAGAAATGAGTTGAACTGACTCGAGCGGAGACTACTCGAAGGGTAAACGCGTCTCGCTCTCTCGTCAGTTATGTGGAGTCAAAAGACAGACCGCTGGCGAGCTGGGTTTGTTGAGCTGTGCTTTGACTCACAGCCTGTGATGAATAATGAATGTCAAGTCAATGTGAGGCTAAAGCTGAGTGGGCGGGGGGGCTGTTGTTGTTTGAACCACGCCCTCGTGTGCACCCTCTCTACCCCGCCGCAGGCTTGGTTCTGTGTTTATAGATTTGATCTGTTTTAATGATGGTTTTCACCGCAGGAATGCTGACAATCACAGATTTCATCATCATACTACACAGATACTATAAGTCACCGATGGTAGGTCGCCCCCGACCGATGACACGTCCACGTTCTGCGCAGGACGAAACTAAATTCATTTTGTCTTTTTAGGTGCAAATTTATGAATTAGAGGAACATAAGCTGGAGACGTGGCGAGGCAAGTACTTTTTGTGCTCTTGTGGCACGCCTTCAGGGAGGCTGTTCGTTTCATCTCACCRTGTTTTAATATTCCCCCACAGAGGTTTATCTTCAAGCTACGTTCAAACCTCTGGTCAACATATCACCGGAAGCAAGGTGGGTTTTCTAAAATTGCTCTAGTGTTTTGAGTCTTATTCCATGTTTGTAACAAAATATTTATTTTTTTTAAAAACAGCCTTTTTGATGCAGTTTACACCCTCATCAAAAACAAAATTCACCGCCTGCCTGTCATCGACCCCGTCACAGGGAATGCACTTTATATTCTCACACACAAGAGGATCCTCAAGTTTCTCCAACTGTTTGTGAGTCCCACAGGTTTCCCCCGCCTGCACACAAACATCACGAACATTTAGTTTCTCCTCATGGCTCGTCTTTTAGATTATAAGTTTGGCTCCCTCTTGTGGCCGATGAGGAAAAGGAGTTGTAGTTTCTGTCTCATTCGGCGTGTCCGTCATTCCCAGATGTGTGAAATGCCAAAGCCAGCGTTCATGAAGCAGACTCTGGGGGAGCTGGGCATCGGGACGTACCACGACATCGCTTTCATCCACCCAGACACGCCCATTATCAAAGCGCTCAACATCTTTGTGGAGAGACGAGTATCYGCTTTGCCTGTCGTTGACGATTCAGGTGAAATCACAACCGACTCACCAGACATAGAGATTTTTATTTTCATTTAAAAAAAAAGTTTCACCTTCATATTTCTCTTTTTCTCTTGCAGGCAAAGTGGTGGATATTTACTCCAAGTTTGATGTGATTGTAAGTTTGTCCACCTGTGAGGAGACAAAGCATCTCATTTGAAACTTCATTGTTTAACCTGTGATTTCTGTGCGTGCAGAACTTGGCTGCAGAGAAGACGTACAATAATTTGGACATTACAGTGACGCAGGCTCTGAAACATCGCTCTCAGTACTTTGAAGGAGTTATGAAGTGCCATAAAATGGAAACTATGGAGACAATTGTGGACAGAATAGTCAAAGCAGAAGTGAGACTTACAGATTTTATTTTTTAAAGGGATCCATGATTAKTTGTAACATTAGACTTTATTTAATAAACATATATTTTAACTGTAAAATAAAGACTAAAATTCTGTAGGCTGCTTAGTTTTTATCATATTTAAACTAAAAGTTTAAAATATATATTACACGGACGGAGCCATTTTATTTACACACAAAGCATTCTGGGTAATCGATGACGTGGATAGGTCCTCGGTGCGAGGCTGCTAGCGAGCTATAGCGGCTGTGGCGGAGTGGTTAGGGGAGTCGTCCTGGAACCAGAAGGTTACTGGTTCGATCCCCCGTCCAGCCGTCTCAGTCGTTGTGTCCTTGGGCAAGACACTTCACCCACCTTGCCTACTGATGGTGGTCAGAGGGTCTGGTGGCGCCGATGCATGGCAGCCCCACCTCTGTCAGTGTACCCCAGGGCAGCTGTGGCTACAGTGTAGTTTGCCATCATCAGTGTGTGAATGTGAGTGTGAATGGGTGAATGTCTGTTAGTGTAAAGCGCTTTGGGGGTCCGGAGGGACTTGAAAAAGCGCTCTATAAGTTCAGTACCATTTACCATTTACCATATCCACCCTGAAGGTTAAATCTTGGACAATATCTGATGATCGGCTCTTTTAAATGAAACCAGAGAGCGTTGACAGAGAGGAGAAGGTAGAAATGACTCAGCCTGTAACTGAAAATATGGATGGAGGACAACAAAGCTGCTTCATGGAAGAAGAACCCCAGCTTAGCCTGTTGGCTTTAGCGTTAGCCCCGATGCTATCACCATATATATGTATTAGCTCAGCGCTACACATTCTCCTTTCATCACTGAGGTCCTCCATCCACATGACAGAGAGGGGAATGCAAAAATGACGCAGCTGCAACTGAAAATATGGATGGAGGACCTCAGTTTAGCTTGTTTGTTGCTCTAGTGCCGAGCTAATACGTATAAGGCAATATAGCGTCGGCGCTAGCGGGATGGCTAACAGGCTAAGCTGAGGTTCTTCTTCCATGAAGCAGCTCTGTTGTCCTCCATCCATATTTTCAGTTACAGACTGAGTCATTTCTACCTTCTCCTCTGTCAACGCTCTCTGGTTTCATTTAAGAGTCGATCATCAGATATTGTCCAAGATCAACTTTCAGGGTGGATATAGCTCGCTAGCAGCCTCGCACCAATGACCTATCCATGTCATCATTTACCCAGAATGCTTTGTAAATWAAATGGCTCCTTCCGTGTTAACATACATTTTTATACATTTTTAAAAATGATAAAAACTAAACATCCTACAGTATTTTTACAGTCTTTATTTTACAGTTGTAATATATGTTTATCAAATAAAGTCTAATGTTACAACTAATCAGGGATCCCTTTAAAGCTGACCCATCTTGGCTTCAGTTGAAAAATTATTTTTTTTGTGTGTTTGATGGCAGGTGCATCGGTTGGTGGTGGTGGACAAGTGCTCCAGTATTGAGGGCATAGTTTCTCTTTCAGACATCCTCCAGGCCCTGGTGCTCAGCCCTGCAGGTATAGATGCTCAGCATTGGTAGCCCCAATTCCCCCCACTGTCCTGGACCCCCGAGCTTTCCCCTCCCACCAATCCTCTTAGCCCTGTCCCAGGTAGGACCAGCCGCTGTTTGACTCGTGGCCGCTCTTCAGAGAAGGCATKATGTCCGTCTGCATTCGGCTCATCCTGTAGGATGATTTGTGCTGCAGTGTTGTTATACACTCACTCTTCATCTAACAGATATTAACCACACAGTAAAAAAAGTTTTTTTATATGAAACCTCTGTTTTGTATTCTGCTCAGTTGAAGTTTGACCCGTCCTTATCATCCCTGCATTTCTGGAGCAAACTTTGATGTGAAGCATGTTTGTTATTGACGTGTTTGGAAAGAACCTTGCCTAATTTATTTATTTTTTAACCAGTTCTACCATAATGGTTATCAGCTGAGTGTTTGGGTTTGTAGCTCGTTAAGATCAAAGTTGGCGCGATGCGTTGCGAAGAAAACCACGGCACACGGAGGACATCGATCCACTCCAAGACGCGCTTCTGTCGGCTCCCGTCTTGTATCGACACAACCTCAGTCTGAGAGAAGCTGCTGCAGCTTGTTAGAGGTTCAGCGGGGAGCGTTGTGGAGCATCWAAACGATTCTTGAAAACACAAAGTTCGTTTTAGGCAGACAAGTTCGCCAAACTTATCGATTACAAGCRGGCAGAACGACGAGCGCGCCTTGCTAACAGCACTCTTATGGGTGTTATTTTGCTGTAACGTTAGCCCTTTCGGTGGAGTCGGGATTATGGTAAAATCATGGTGCAGGAAAGGGTTCTACGAGTTCTTCTGCTCTCGTTTCTCCTTTAGCAGGCTCGTTCGTCCCAGTGCACTTCAGAAAACAGACAACAGCTCAAACAACAGAACCAAAACAATAAATCCAGCCTCCAAATCTCTTCGAACACACAAGAACCACACATTTATTTTTCCTCTGTAACCCTCAGGACAACATCCCAGTGTCAGAACTCCATGATTTTAATCCCAGTGTCTTAACATTTGTGTCTAACATTTCACTGTCTCTTATTGACGACCGCTGTTGTGCTCACTGCGCATAAATACATTTATTTCTCAACTTGTTAATTGGCAACTCATGATGTTTTTCCTCCTGTTTTTTTTTTTTTTTTTTTCAGATGCCTGTAAGGAGGAGAGCCTGACTGAATGAGAGGACGGTGCGTCAGTTTCGTGTGAATTACAAAAGGAAAATAAATGAATACATAATAGAAACGTTCAGGCAGAGCGTGTGAATCTGAGTGRAAGTCGTGGAGACGCCTGCCCGTCGGTGTGCGGTTTAAAAAAAGAAAAAGGTTTGAATCCAAAGAGTTTGACAGTGGAGTGAAGTGGACTTTCTGCACAGAGAGATTTGTTTTTCTCTTTGTTTGAACACTGATCCGATGTCACGTCACAGATATATTAAAGTATATGCACACACCTATAGGCGAGTCCATAACATTAACCTATATGGGGAAGTGGGAGGGGGGGGGGTGGATCTGAGCATCAGTGTGGTCACATTCATGCTGCTGTATTTCCAGCTGATGTGTTCGCCTCCAGGTGAGCCTTTAACACATGCAGCTTTGTTCATGTAGCACAACTCCACTTTCCCCACAGCGAGTTAATGACTGTTATTAGAGACGGTTTGTTGGTGCCAACACAGACCGCTCAGTTCTTATTTGTGCCTTTGGTTCCCCCCCTCCCCTCCCTGCTTCAGTTTGCATCTAAAAATGTTTATTTTAGATTGAAATGTGGCTGAAATATGGACATAGATGGTTATATGTTATTTTTTACCTTCATTTGGTTGCGTTGTGGGTTTTGCGGAGCTCAGAGGAACACTTCTTGGTCAGTGGTGGAGTTTTCTAATATAACTTAAGAAATCCATAACGGTGAGACCAGATTATAAAAATGTTTTTAAAGGTTTAAATCCTATTTTTCTTCTTAAATGGTTAAAATGCTTCTTACCAGTATGCAAAGCGATTTGTTCATCTCGGCTGGAACTCGGCAGGACTCATCTCCGTCTTCACCTGTAAATGGGTTTGTTCTCAGAAAAGGAAAGAGTGGGGGTAAAATTTAAAATAAAAAGTGTGACAAAGCTTTATTTTTATGAATGTGTTTAGAGATTCTGCAGTTTTAATGTTATTTTTGTAAATATATTGTGACAATATGTTTAGTTCAGAGAAACTTTGTATCAGATCGACATGTACTGTAAATGTTCAAGCATGACAAACTACACTTCAGCAGAATGAATGTTTTTTGTTTTACTATTTTTTGTTCTATTTTTCTGGCTGCAGAAAAATAAAGACACTGAATGTACTCTAAAGCTGGGTGATTTTTTTTTTTACACACTAGGAATTTTCTTTTTCAGGATTAATCTGTTTATTCAGTTCCTCATTTTTCTCCAGTTTTCCAAAGATGCAGCAACCCTGATGTTTGAGTGTTGGAGGGGGTGAAGTAAGAAAAGATTGTATAAAATTAATGTGGGGGGAAAGTTTTACAACTCCAATTTCAAGAGGTAAGAATGTGTACATTTAAAAATGAAAGATGGTAAACATCAGTTTCTGTTCCATTCTGAGAAAAAGTGGGAAAAAAATCTTTACTCAAGTCTTTTTTTATTTTTTTTATTGCAAATAGCATTCTGCTGCACACTAGTAAAAGAAAACCGGTCTAATCATAACTTTATTCCATTTTGAAAAACATGGGATTTTGAGGTTTGCAAATCTGCATTCGTAACTTACATTTTACACAACATCCCAGCTTTTTACGAGATATTTATGACATGCACCATTTTCCCATATTTTCTAAAATGTTTGACAAATATGAAAATCAAATTCAACTGGTGCCCGCGAGTGACCGAAGTTCGGCCCACCAATTGGTTCATTCATCTCTTAAACCCAAACCCCTGGTTTTCTACTTTAATTACTCCAAGTTCTTTTAGTTAAACAGACATGTTTGGTATCCACAGAAATGTCAGAATCTTGTCTAGAAGCTGGTAAAAACATGAAAACAAGACCGTTAAAACTACAAGCAGTTGAAGATAAAATTAGGAAAGTGAAAATAAAATTGGTTTTAAAATTTGGCAAGTCAGAGATGTCAGAATAAAATGAGTGTCAAATAGGAGGCCTGATGTGTTCTTTTTGATATTTAATTATCACTTCATTACATAGGGTTCTGTATGTTGTATTCATGATTAAATGCAGCAAAATGAACWATTTCAGAGGTAACATCTTTTTAATACTTGCTTTATTTACATAATTTACTGGATGTTTGGCCCCTGAGCTGTTGACCTGCAGTAACTGTGGCCCCCAGACCAATTTAGTTAAATAGCCCTAATCTACAGTAAAAACAGCATAATTGAAGCTTATTGCACAGATTTCAAGGCAAAACATCATATGTGACTAGATTAACACTTAGTATCAATATTTAATGACCAGAGAATAGATTCGAGAAATTTTTCTTTACAGACAAAAGTGATATTTTACAGCTTCCTCTCCTCAGAATGGATCATGACATGTTCTCAGCGATGGTGATGCAACAGTAAATTATAGTCTTTTCTCCTCCACAGAAATGCACCCTAAACATTTCCCCAAACCTAAAATGTAGGAAAACATGTCATGCTGTGTGCACTCTAAAAATGAAATGTTGGATTTACTTAACCATGTTATGTGACCTGGTTCCACTTAACTGAGTTGAGTGAATTCAAAGCAACAAACTCATGTTCTTTGGTTAAAAAACTGGTATACTGCTTTGAATTTACTCAACTCTGTGCTGTAATCGTCTTCACTTTTAACAGCTCAAAGACAGTTTGGGGTTTGATCCACGGTGCTCGCCTCCATCCTCTCCCCCTGTTGATTACCACATCATGTGAGATTTAGATATTTGTCTCTCACATGGAGCAGCCTCAGACAGCTGAACRGTCCTCACCGAAGCGCTCGGCCCTGATTTCCCCCCACTCTCGTGGCACGCTGCCCCGAGGATATTTTAGAGCAGGGATTGGCAACTAGATGTGCCAGAGAGAGAGAGAGAGAGTGTGTGTGCCTGGAAACGGGAAAGCTTTTTAATTTCTGCTGAACATGATCACAGCTGATGATTCATGTTTTATATTTAAAGACAGGCCTGCTCAGAGAAACCAGCTGTCAGCTCTTGTTGTGGAGCAGCCACAAGGTGATGCTGTTTGTACACTTCCAGCCTCATCCTGCTCTAATGAAACAGCTCTTATCCCAGTGGATATTTAGATTCCAATAAGACATTAATGATTTTACTCTGAGTCGTTTCCTATATATATATTTTTAACGCCTTTGAACAAAATTGCTGGATTTCAGCAGGAAGTTTTTAAGCAKTTGCCTCTAAATGAGGTGGATCAGATGGACTACCAAATGAGGGGATAAAATCGGACCAGGCTTACYCCAGACAATCTGCTTTGATCTCCCAATCTCCCCTGTGATATCCAGCTCTGGGAAGGCCTTCTCACCTTGTAGCCCTAAAGCAGCAAAAGAAGAAAAAAAAAGAGGGGGCTTCTCCTCCTCCTTTACTGCCCATCTCTTTTCTTAACACACACACACACACTGGACTCTCTTTTGAAAGTCTTGGACTTGATTTAAAATTCCTCTTCGGAGCGTGTCATGCATTTTATATGCATGGCAAGAGAGAGAGAGGGGGGATACTGAAGGCAGGGGGGTATGTGTGGTGGGTGGCTGGGTTGTGGTGGGTGCTTCAATCCAAATGAACTTTCCTCTACTTGCTGTAGGCCTCCTCGGGGGATATATCTGTACACACCATCCATTACCACTTTCCCCTCATTTTCTTGCTCCCACTCAACTCTTTCAACATTAGTTTTTCACTGCATCATGCTTTTGCACAGATTCCACTGAGCAGCAAGGAGGGGGTGAGTGTGGGGAGGGGGACAGCCTTTGAAGACAAGTGTGATCAGAGCAGAGGGCGAGGGGTGTACAAAAACCTGGCCCCGGGGCATTTGAGGGGTACTTTTTTTTTCCCCCTCTCTATCCCCCTCCTCCTCCTCCTCTTCGCACTCATATTTAGCAGTGTATGGAGCCGAGGAGGAGAGGCTGACAAGTGCAGCGTTTGGGGACAGCTTTGATGTCTCGTCTGGGTGCGGCTGCTGCATCTGTGCAACCCCCCCCCCAACAAGGAGACAGTCGCCTTGACACAATCAGGCTTGCAGGCCTCTGATAGATAACAGATAATCAAAGAAGCACGCTGCTCTCCACCTAAAACATTTCTCATTCTCTTTTCTGCCACGCTGACGGCCTGAGAGGCAGCCGAGGATCAATAACGCACACGAGAAAGAAGAAATAAAAGACGTGAATCTGCTCCAGAAATCTGATTTATTAATATAGGAACAATATGATCCCACTATAGCTTATTGTGGATATAGCAGTAAACAAAAAAAAAAAAAACACAGTACACTTTTTTTTAATAAGTGCTACAGGTTTGTGAGTATAGACGTAAAACAGTGCTACATTCATATATGCACAGGGGGTATAAAAATTACAGTATATTGCGATGAAGCTATTCCTGCTCTGTTTTACACACAAACACACACGAGAACATCAAATATCTGTGAGCTGTTTGAGAAAACAGGTGCTTTTCAACTGAGTGGAGGTTTAGGTTGACTTTTATTTTTTATTTTATTTTTTATTTTTTACACACGAGCACTGAGCTGACAAACGTGAAGCTGATATAAGTACAGTAACACTACACRAAGCCTATACACAGAAACCTCTCCGTGAACTGGAGAGGTCGTCCTTTTAGGTGAAAGATTCCTACAGGTTTACTTTGGTTTCCAGCTCTCTACAWCTACACTGTGAGACTGTGGCAGTTTTTAAGCTGTGGGTAAAAGTTAACTTTTGACAGTGTAGCAGCTTCAAGCCRTTATTCAAAAGGACACTTTAGTTTCTTTTGAAGTGGGATTCTGAGGAAAGGTTATTAAGAATTAATATCTTACCTGTTGGAGATGGCTTTCTGAATGACCTCAGGTTGAAAAAAAGAAAAAAAGAGTTTTGTTCCGACTAGGCTGACGAGCTAAGGGTGGAGCGAGGCCARAAGCGAAGTGCTGCTGTCTTCATTTAACTTCAAATAACTTGGGTCTGAAAAGTCCATAGGGGTTTTTGTGGGGCAGAAGGGTCAATGGCCCCCCTACTGGTCTCACTTGTCCAGACAGTTTTATCCATCGAGCCCCAAATTTGGTTGGTGTTCATTTTAAATTTACCCTACCTACTAAGGATTAGTAGAACCTAGCAAACATAAAAAACATTGTTTTTGAGCCATAAGGAGTTAAAATATACATTTTATTTAAAATTTAAAAAATGCTAAAGTGCTATTTGAACTTTATGGTTATTTGCAAGTGCTGAGTAAGTAACTAGGTAATGAAAATTTGAGGATGTTAAAGTTTATAAAAGAGCGTTCACATGAATATTTTAATATTGGAGCTGATTTAGGACAACAATAAACCACTTTGTTCTTAGTTGAACTAGCTGTTAGCTCATCAGTGCAAATTAGACTCCATTTCTCCAAACTAGAAAGGCAAAATTGGTGAAAAAAATTTAAATACTAATTATTCATTCCTACCAGGTTCACCTAACAAGATAATCGGGTCGATTTTTGGCCTAATTATTCCCTTTTGATGATCTTAAGGAAGCCCCGATTATTGTGATGGTTCTAAAGATAAYCTTAGCAGAYRTGCCTGCCGTGTGTGTTTGGCTTTTACARTCGGCTTGGAAGGACGTCGGAACCACTCCAGTCTAAAATCTGGGATTTTCAACATGTTGGATTGTCTCGGCCCAATATCCAAAGTGTGTGTGGTGTTCCCCAAAGACGAGTGAGTATGCAGCCTGTTGAATGTGACGGTTATCCAAAATACAGAAGACCAAACAACTGCCATGGTGCTTTAGAGTCCACAGRGACTTGATAAAGTCATGTTCAGGCTGTTTTACATGGTGAAGCAGAAACTCCGGTGGAAGTCGGAGACGTCTTTTTGTTTTTCTTAAAAAGATTCTCACCATCACTTCCTCCTCGTCGGTTATGTTTATTTACTCTGAACTCACGCTTGATCTTGAGAGGCCTCGCGAGATTTCCCGTCTGACGTCTGAATGTTCGAGAGWGAAATCTGTTCGTGTGTGGTGTGTTGTCTTTGCCGTGTGGCTGTACACCACACACTGTAGGACCAAACCTGGTATGATTTTTTTTTTTTATTGTCATGCGTGGGGKYTCTCGGTCTTTGAAAATCAACCAACGATTTTAAATCTTGCCGTGTGACCCTGACATTAGACATTCAGGATCCCATAGCAGCTCTTTTTCAATGCCTTTATTTAGTTTTTCATCCATTATTTAGTTGTACGGACGTTTTATATGAAAGTTTAAAAATAAATGACAAAGATTCATTTTTAAGTTTGGGAAAAAAAATCTTGTCCTCGTAAAGATAAGGGTGAAAACTTATTGCCTATTTTTAAGATATTGGTTAATCTGGTAAGGTAGAAAATACGAAGCTAATATTTTAAAKCTGTGTTGTTACAGCCCATCTCAGCTCGACATGGTCCGTATGTTTAATCAGCATTGACTGACACATAGTGCCAAAGCTTTCCGGCTGTTTTTTTTAGCCATCCACAACAGGTAAGATGTTTACTGTTTGTACGTTTGCACAGAACACCACTTCAAAAGATCTGAACTGTCACTTTATCACAACACAGAAATTAAACAGTTTTAATAGCAGCCAGGAATATAATGTAATTACAGTGTCATTCCATAAAAAAAGAAAAGAGGGATGAATTCTTATTCTAAAATAAAACGGTTGGTATAAATCTGTCATGTGGTACCTCATAATAAATACAATAAAACCGCTTCTTTGTTATTTTTGTTCTAGTCTGGTCTGGTATAAATATGATTGAATTATTGGCTGTAAGTTGTGAGTAAGACAGACTTTCATCCATGCAACACAGAAATTTAAAATCTTTTTTTAAAAGAGTGATGAAAAAAAAACATTTCTTCATTTGGGGGAAAAAAAGACAAAGGAGTGTATAGAACAAAATGTTTTACAGACTGCAAAGTTCTTTCATATTTTTTCTTTTTTTTCCCATCAGACTGTAATACAAGACAAACATGAATAAAACAGGAACAAATCTGTCCCCGGATGCTTCGGCAGAGAAAATAAGGGACGTCTCCTGTTCCTGTTGTCTCCGCTCGGTCACATGCGGCCTCGCGGGGATTACTCAGTCCACGTCAACTTTGTCTGCATCAGAAACGGATTCTCGGAGTCTTTGTGGGTCGGCAGCAGCTGAACGTGGGAGCGGTGCAGGGGGGGGGGGGGACGGCAAACTTAACGGACAGCCAACGGAAACAGAGCTGTTGCTTTGTGCTGTGATTTGTTTGATGCTTTTACAAAGGTGGTCTCCTTTATGTTGCATCACTGGAGAAACGTAAGCATTTATTGTGTCGTTTTCTGCTCAGTTTGGCGTGCATTTAAAAATAAAATAAAACCAACGCAAAAAGAAAAACAAGAAAGAAAGCTGAGACTTCCTGCTCTCCGTTACAGGCCAGAGGAGTTAAACGGTGCAATGTGTTCACCTGAGCTGTCTGAGGAGTGAAACGTAGCCACTCTGTGCCAGTTTGTAGTGAGCCGTTTCCGTTGCGAGCAGCTGTTCTGTACAGGAAGTCTTTTGAAGAACGGCTGTAGGGAGGTAACTGGAGTCCACAGTTCAAATGAAGGGTGGGGACTGGGGGGGTCCGTCGCCTTAGCGCTCAGGCGCAGATCTGCTGCTGCTTTTTTTCTCCGGAGTCACGGTCCCTGCACCTCGACCATCAACCCCTCCAATAAACGAGAGCCCCACACATGCAAAGATCTACACTAAAAACCCAAYGTTCATGCTTTAACGAGTACAGAAGCAGGCAGGGCGGGAAATCAAAACATGCATTCCTTTTCTTTTCCTCAGCTTCGTTTGATTCCACCTTCGGCTGCGCCTTTTTCCAGACATCCTTTGCTCTCCGGACCGTGCCTCTGGTTCCCTCTGCTGTTTTGATTTGTGTCTGTTTTGACGTGAAGAGGCAGGAGGATAGGGGAGTTTTTCTGAGCGAGGCTTTGAAGAGAGCCAGATTCGGTCTGAAGGTTGTCTCTGAGGGGGTCAGGGGCATCTTAAAAAAATATTTGAAGAGAGAGAGAGAGAGGGGGGAAAAAGGTGCAAAGATGGGGGGGAGGAGGACAGCGGTAAGAATCGACGACGAGCTGATAGGGAGGAGAGCTTGCTCACTTTTGCGCGAGGTACGCTCCGATGGTGATGCTGGCCGCCCCGAGCGCAGCCAGACCGAAGACGGTTTTGATGGAGGGCCAGTAGCAGCTGAAGACGGACTCCTTATGTCTGTCGTACAGTTCCACAAAGGCATCCTGAGGGGAGGAGGAAGAAAAGCGTTAGTAAAGGTGCAAAACAGTACATCTTTTCAAACCTAGGAGTTAAAGCAGACTGGAAAACCCTGACTTCCTGTTTGTCTGTTTGCAGACAAGGTGCCTCAGCTCTGGCAGTGTGAGGCAACTTCTCAGCCACCATTTTTTTTTTCACACAGATCTTCAGTTCTGTCCAGACTTTCTCCTCTGCTGTCGGCACACTGGCGTCACAGCAGGGTGTTCTGCTGCAGATGTGCTCCCACAGCTGGAAGTGAGAGGATGTGTCTGCAGCATCCAGGAAAAAAAGGCTCTTCTCTACAGCACGGTAAAAAAAAGGGTGGATGAGATGGGTTTTTTGTGCTAATATCACATGTATTCAGATGGAAAGAAGTAGAAAAACAACTTGAAATAGAGTCTGGCAAAGACGTGGTTACAGGGTTTTGTGTTTGGCAGATTATTTCTTTGTTGTAAAAATGCTTCGTGGCAATAAATCTTATGTGAGGCACCTGATTGGCACGTGTGTTACCAGAAACTCAAAATAAGAGTCAATAGAAACAGCAAAACAAGCTGTTTGTCAGAGATGATTCAGCTAATTTTTCACATGTGCAACCCAGCTACTGCTTATCCCACAAATGCATGTTCCTTACAAATGTGGCCCCATTTAAAAGAAAAATTAACAGGCTTTTTTTGCCGAGAAACATTGTTACAACAAAAAAATCATAATCTACCAAACAGAATTTTCCTTTGTTTGTGCTAAGTTTATATATAATTTATTTGGATATTTTACTGAGAAGATGAGAGGAAAATGTTGTGTGCAAATGATACATTTTAAATAAACTTTAACAGAACCTTTGCAACAAGAAAGATTTACAGTGACGTTAAAGAAAACATGATGTAACCTCTTTAAACTTTGATCTTTAAAGATTTATTTCCTAGTAGTTAATAATTAAAGAAATTGTTTTAGTTGGTAGTTTACACATCTGTGTCCACTCAAATGTTTCTGATCATTTGTCGTTACAGTGGCGTTTAAATGAGTTTTTATTCACTGTTGCTCTGAGAGGCTACTTCTGTGGTGAAAACTAGCTTTTTTTTATTATTCTCTCTGGTTATGTTTAAGCATCAAGTTTGTTTTTATTTTCTCCTTCCTGCCGAGCGAAAATTGAAACCAGTCAGGAAACTAAAAACCTGCCGACTGGATACCAGGGGGAAAAAAATGGTGTGATATCGTTTTGCAATTTTTGCGGAATTTCCCTTTAAAATGTAAACCCCCCCAGGTGCTACACAAGCTGAGTGGAAATAAGAGTGTCATTACACCAAAGAGAGATCCATTACTCCTCGTCAGCTCACAGCCACACACATCCACACACACACAACTCCTC